AAAACAGCAGCTGCAGGTTGCAACTCCATTTGACTGCACATGACGACAATTACAGAAAAAAGCCATTGTTGGTCAGTCGTTTTTTTACTGCCTCAGGATAGCAATGCACCTGACCACACCCCATTTTAAGACCAACATGGACGGGCTCAATAATGCTACTTATACAACATAAATATTGGGCGTAAGGATGACAATTGCAATTGCGCTTGGTGCCAGGTGTAAGATGAGGCCCTCACATGCTGGTCCAGATTCATTTGTTATAGGCTTTTTTAAGAAAAACATCATGGCAGAGGAGTAATTGTTGTGTTGAAATGAACAATGCCTAAAAACGGACCCTCCCAAAGGAGTTAAGCCCTCAGTCACAGAAGCAGAGGAAGTATAATCTGCCAAGAACACTAAAATAATTGAAAGCAATGACCAAATAAACAAAAAGGCACAAGCATGTTTTATCATTTATGTTAATAGATATTGCGAAATAAAGAAAATTTTAAATCTGACAAAAAAAAAGTAAAAAAAAAAAAAAAAAAAGAGAAATTAAATGGATGTCATGAAATGAGTCACTGTCAAAATAAGTATGTCCTCATTTGTTTCAGATGTTTTGACTGAACAGCAGGGATTTATGGGTAAATGGAATGTTACCTGAACAGCCATAATACTCCACAATTACTTTTGATGTTAGCATCATGTGGCCACCGTTCCTTTCCAAACCGCAAAGAGGGAATAAAGCACTGTGAGGTGTTTCTGATCTGAAAAGAAAGCAAACTGGACTCCATAAATATCACTAAAAGTCTTCTATTCTCTACATACAAAAAAGAGAAAGTAATTGCCACTTTCCTAAAAATAAAATCATGCTTTGGCTCTAGAGCTCACAGTAAACTTTTAGCAAATCAATCTGCCAAAACGCTTCCTGGGAATTCCCAAAAGCATTAAATATAATACTGTAGCTGGAGTGAGAGCGATTATGTAACAAGTATTTATTTATTCATTAACGTCCATTTCATTCATTTCACTGGGAATTGGGAGTTTGTCAGAGCTCCAACTGCTATGGCACAACAGCAGCTGGCTCCTTCAGTCTGCCTGTCGCTCCATCACTATCACCAGGGTTCCTTTCTGTCAAAAGGATCGGAATACTGGGGTGTAACGGTACCAAAAAATCTAAAATTTGGTTATGTGATACGTTTTCAGTAAACATACGAAACGACTTTTGTAATGTGTCAGTGATGCTCCATTGTTATTACAGTAGACTCTAAAGGGGCTTTAACACCTAACTTGTTTGGTGCAATTCAGATTTTGGGTGTGTTTTTTGAGGATGGTGTGAAAGCTGTTAACTGAACTCTTGTCATCCCTGTGAGGTTGGCAGGCAACCAGTGGAGACTGCAGGCCTCGCCAAGAAATAGTTCCAGATATAACTCCCCATAAAACCACAAACTGTCTGATTAAACAAATGAGAGATAACGTGTTAAATAGTGAGCTTTAAAAGGTTTTGCTAGGCAAATTTATTTACCTTTTGCCTGAACCGTTTCCCCCAGCCTCCAGGGTTTGTGCTAAGCTAACCATCAGCGATAAGATTGGCTATTACTATATAGTTATTCTTAGTTGGATTCGCCTTGAAATCAATGAAACGAGTCGGTAGAAACACTACCACTTTTGTCCACAGGGGCCGCCAGAATCAACATAAAATGAAAGTTACTTGTTGGGGCTTTAAGTCAAGTTTTACACAGTTAAATAGCTCTGTGTGGCCATCCACCTGCGGTCTTTGAGGGCAGCTTGTGCTCGTTGTCACTACTGACTGACTAAAGTATGGATGTGAAGGAACATAACAGTACCAACCAGCCAGATTTGAACAGCCTTTTTGGGTTTTTTTTTTTTAAGCCTTTTGTAAAAATTCTTAAAGCAGAATTTGTGAATTTTATTTCGAGTTGTTTTAATACTTATACCAATATCCGGTATCGGGCAAGCACTCATCGATTCGATACCACATAATTTAACCCAGAAAAGGGACCCTGCTACTTCCCAACAGTGTCCTGTTCGCCCTACTGTGACTCTTACAAGGACAGCAATCTTAAAAAAGTTAGTTAAGGTTTAGTTATAACGTACATGTATCGGACTATTACTCGGTATCAGCAGATAGAGAAATTTCAGATATCGGAATTGTAAAAGAATAAGTGGTATCTAAACATCTTTAATTGTATTGGATTGCTCGGGTTTAATCACATTATAACAGTTACTGGAGTTGTTCCTACAAACCTGATGGGAACCTCCTTCATAAGAGCCTAAATCAAAGAGAACATGAAAACAATGTGGGAGTGAGCGGGGTATGAATGATGGTCCTGATTTTTATGTACTGGGGGGAAAAAAAGGAACTAATTGCAAATCTAATTGCATATCTAATACATCACCTTGCAAGCCAACTACATTCTCCTTTGCCAGAGAAAATACAACATAATGTAAAATTCAAGAACGCAGTAAAAGAGGGATGGAAATAAAGGAAAGACAGGCCGACAGAGAGACCACCCACCGTGCCGGTAATTGATTGCTGTGTCGACTGTGTTTGACACCGCTGCTCTTTAGCGGCGGGATCAGAGCAGCACACACACCCACACACACACACAAACAGCATACCCAGACGTAGCAGAGTGCAGGACAGGCATGACTAATCAATCGTCCTCGCAGCAGGAGTCAACAGGCTGACTAGAGGATTAAAGAGTTTCCCCTTGAGACTCCAGATTCATCTGTGGCACTGCATCTCTGCTACACATCCACCAATCATCGGATCATTCAGAGAGAACATGCATTCCTCAGTTTTTTCCCCCAGTCCACCACTGTGTTGGACATCAGAACTGTCCCCAAACATCAACGCTGAGCATAAAAATTACCAAGTACTCAGTTAAAATCACTACAAGTACTCCATTACTCTCCAGAACTACCCCAATCTAAACTGACATCAAATATTTTGATCATATCATGACAGTGACAATGTGATAGTTTAGGGACAACTATTGGTCAAAGAAAGATAGATAGAAAGATACCATTTCAGAAATAATCATCAGAAATGTTTATATGACAGTCATGAATCATGAACGTCTACAATGTTACAATCTAAGGTGACCACTTCCAAAAGACCCGGTACACAGCATTATCGACTGACAGGCTAATGAACACATGAGGATAGGAATCATCAGCTGTGATGATAACACAGTAAAATAATGTGCAATATCATACAGTTCATCAATCATACTGGACCTGAGAGCCTGAAAAACCTGTTCATTCTTTCAAAAACACACTGTTAAAAAACATAAAAACTCAAATTCACCAAACCTAAAGAAAGACATAAAACTAAAGTGAGCTCTGTATATCTGGAGTTTGTAACAAAAATTTTAATTCCCCCTGGGATTATTAAAGTATTTCTGATTCTGATTTCTGATTCATCAACCATTTTCTTCATTTCACTCCAACAAGAACAGGACTTTAGACAGGGACAATATTTGAGCAATATCATGATAAATAAATAAATAAAAATTCCAGGCACTGTTTAGTTTTGTATCAGGACTTGAGAAGTTCTAAATTAGAAAACACTCAAGTATCTCATATTTCTTAGAAAGAGAACAATTATAATATCTCATAATTTATAGGTTAAATATTAGGATATTTAAAATGTAAAGATATAGTGGAGCCATAGTGGAGATAATGATGTCACACTCCCTCTGCCTGTGTTGCCATCGCTGCCTCTCTGTGGTTTGTTTACAAAACCTGTCTGCTTCTTGG